CTTTCTTGTTCCTTGCCTTGCCTTGCCTTGCCTTCTAGAAACCTTAAAGACAAAACCTACAATTGCCCTTAATCAAATCTGCAATTCCATCATTTCATTTTCTCTCTCTATCCCTCCCTCAACACCAAATCCGGACATTTTCCTTTCTAATTTCTCTCTTTTACTGGGTTTGAAAGTTGGGTTTAAAGGAACCTAGCACACCTGGGTTCGAAAGAACCCAACAGCCGTTGGGTTGATGGAACCCAACAACCACTTCTTCTTCCTTTTCCTTTCCTTTCACCTTTTGCAAACCCAGACACCTTCTAACATCAAATCCAAGCATAACACAAACATAAACCCAGAATCTCCCCCAAATAGTCACTAGCTCTCTTAGCCTTCCAAATAAACCCAAAGAAATCAAGGGATCTTCTCCCAAATTTCTACAAAAACTTTGACTCTCATGGGAGGAAGAAAGGAGAGATATGAAAGAGAATGTTTAAATGGAGGGGAGGAGATGGGGAAAGAGAAGATGAGGAGATGAAAAAAGGAGAAGGAGGAACCCAACGCCTACTAGGTTCAATGAAACCTAGTGACAGCTAGGTTCCATTGAACCCATAACCCCCAAGGTTGCTAAATAAGGATTTGGGGGAAGAAGATGAAGAACATGTTAGAGATGAAAAGGATGGGTTAACGAAAGGAAAATGGAAAGAAATTGATGTGTGGTTGAAGATAAGGGCAAACAAGTAATTTTAGTTTTATAATTAGTTTGAAATATTTTAATTTTTAACTGAAAATTACATGTCAAGTCTTATATGCCATACTGTCAATCCTACATGTCAAAATATTTTTACATGTCATCCTTTTTCGTTAACTAACGAGACATGTAGGCAAATTTTTAACGGAGGGGACCAAGTTAAGGCTAAAATGGGAAACAGTATGGACCAAATTAGAGATTTTTTGAGTTGAGGGACTCAATTGGGGGTTCATACAATAGTTGAGGGCCCAAAATGGAGGTTTAAACTTAAGGAAATAATAATCGTATTTTAAATACAATGAGCATGGGTTATGTTTTGTAGTCTCTGTCATGTCAAACTACAAAATCAAAATTATTGAATAAGAAAGAAAGGTCTAATATCAAAGGACCCTTCCCTAATCCAAAGGTAATTGTTTCATAATTTGACACAAGATTGGAAAATTGTTTTTCAATGAAATATATAATATGACGAGATATATAATAAAAATACTTGTACCAAAAATATATATAATAAAAATACTCTATTGCAATTTATTTTATACAAATTGCATTATTTTTAATTATTTATGAAGGAATAAGCCTTCAACACTAAAGGATCCACCCCTCAATTAATAATTAAGTAAAGCACAATACATGCAACATAGACTAAACAAAGTAAACATCAATTGTTACATAATCATTAGAAAATATAGGGTTGGCAATTACCCCAATCACCCATGAAGGCCTGCAAAGATGGAGATTCAAACTTCTTTGTGAAGTGGGAGAGGGGATGGTGGACTTTTTTTCATTTAATTTTGCGTGAGCAAGGTCTATGCATCCTTGTATACCCTTAAAAAAATAAATACGTTAAATTTTTACATTTTTACTTAAAATAATTATATTTTTTAAATTAAAAATTTAGAGATAATTTATTAATGATTGTGAACAGTATTTAGCCTACTTTAATAAATTTCACCCCAATTACTCAACTCATCATTTAATTTAATGACAAAATTCATAATTTATTATTCAATTCCAAGTTATACTTGGCATAGTATTTGGGAGACAAGGGGGTTGCAATGCTATAAATAGGTTGTCGAAAGCAGATTAGTGATGATCAGGATATGAGTATCTGGTATGATCCACGGTTATTAAGAAATTCTCATTTTGAAGTGACAACAACCCAACTAGAAAATTGCACTTTTTATTTTTCATGTGTGACTTAATTGATGTAGAAAATCATGTTTGGAGAAAAAGAGTTAGTGAAGTCTATTTTAGCCATTATGAGGCTCGAATGATTCTTTTAATACCACTAAGTTGGTACCAGGTTGAGGATAAATGGATGTGGCAATGTACTCAAGATGGTGCTTATACAAGATAATCAGGCTATTATGGAGGATGTGCAACTTAAGAGGACCAACAACAAGCATCAACATCCATACAATCTTTTCATGGTGGAATTATATAGAGGTTGTATGTTTTGGAGAAGATTAAGGTGTGTATATGGAGTGCTTACTATAATATTCTTCCAATGAGAGATTATCTAGTTAAGAAGAAGGTGGATGTGGAAAGTTTGTGTCGAATTTGCAAGTTAGAAAATGAGTTTGTCATTCATTGCTTAAAGGATTGTCAATTTGTAAGGGCTCTTTGGATAAGGTGCTTCATTTGCTAATTTTTTTAATCATGTCCATGGCTAGTATGGTCAATGCTAAGCAGTTAGAGAAACTTTAGTGTTTTATGTTGGTTAATGTGGTCAAATAGAAATGAGCGAGTTTGGAAAAGGAGGTCGAGGAGTTTCGATTAGATTATTTCACATGTTAACCGCTTCCTAGTGGAGTATAGAAGTGTTATGGGTGGTGGAAGGGGGTCAAGTTATGAAACACAGCATGAGGTTTGTGAGGTAGGTGCCTCCGACTAAACCTTTGTTTAGTATAAATGTTGACAACGCTGTATTTGAGCAAGATAGAATTTTTGGGATGGGAGCCATTATTTGTGACTGTATGGGGGAAGCACTTGCAACTATGGCTTGTAAAGGAGTGAGCATGTTCTTTGTGGAATGTATTGAGGCCAGTAACTTGTGGAGGGCATTACAATGGGCACAAGAGTTAGAGTGTTGATGGGGGCCTTCTAAGCTTACCAGTTGCAACATGTCCACAGAGGTGCAAATAAAGTGGCTCATGCATTGGCTAGATATGCCATACACATTGATCATGACATGGTATGGTTTACACAAATGTCTAATGCAATAAATAATATTGTACAAGAGGATATGCTAGTGTTGTAATTTGATTTTATCTGTGCTCTTCTCACTTATTGAAATTAAGCTTAATGCAATTTCATATCAAAAGAAAAAAAAAAGTCTAATCCAATTACTCAAAACATTAGTCATTAAATACTCTAAAAAATTAAAGCAACATGGTAAATTAATAAATTGGTGGGAAAAGAATAATGATAAAATAGACAAAATTTTATGGGACTAATAACATAGTATAAGCCACATTATTTAAAATATTAAAAGATAAATCTTATATTATTTAAAAATTAACTATTTTCATTTTATCAAGTCCAATAATGTTGTATATATAAACTCATTTAATGATATAATTAATATTACATTATTAGTCTTAAATTTTTACACTCTAAATTACTACTTGTGGGAAAATGGAGACCTGAGGGTAATAAGAACAGTAGAAGATTTTTAGCAAAACTCTATATTAAGTCCCTAAATTTATCTTAAATTTTTTATTAAGTTCTTAAATTTTTATTAAAATAAATAAGTCTCTAAACTTGGTAATTTGAATAATTTAACCCCTCTTCTTTAAAGTAGACTTAACATTTGTTTGTGTATCACTTGTGTAAATAAGATATTAACATGTCATAGCCTACATGATGGGTATTGAGCTTGTCTGCACAAACAAAATATAAACAAACATTAAGTCTGCTATAGAAAAAATAGTTGAATTGTCCAAATTAACAAATTCAGGAACTTATTTACTTAAATAAAAGTCTAAGGGTTTAATAAAATTTGGGATAAGTTTAGGGATTTAATACAAAGTTTTGCCAAAATTTTATCCCAAGTCAAAAAATCACCGTGGGAATCTGTACCCCTCGATTGGGGGAGATGAAGATGGAGTGTCTCCTGAGTTTGCAGAGCTCATTAACATCCCTAGCCATATATCAAGTTTGAACAACAAATTTTGAATGCTGAATAAAAGTATGTGAGAAGCATACTATGAGTACTCTTTTTGTAAATGGGTTTTCAGTACCCCTAATACTTTGTTTTATATAAATTTTCTCTACCAATCAAAAAAGTAAAGGGGTATGTGACAAGTATGCGTGTAAACTGAATAAAAGGTTTACAATACAGGACAACCCAAATGTAAGAAAAGAAGTTAGAGAGTAATGTTCTATAAAAAGCTTGAATATTTAGGTAACAATAATTCCCATTTATTAACTCCATCTTCCTCTTAATTCGATGGGCTCCCACCGCGGGAAAGTTTCTTTGCGCACCAGCTGGATTAAGCAATAAGTCGCTTTAACTAACAGCAAAGGGAGGATGTGGAAAACTTTTGCTTTTCTTTTTCTCTCATTTT